CTTAGGGAGGGCGGTGATGATGATCTATGCGGCAGCAGACGGCCTAAAACTTGCAAGACAGAGCCTCGGGTATCTTTCGAGGGTAGATTCTCCGATACTTAAGTCAATAAAGGAATAGAGATAATAGAAAGAGGGTGATGTGTATCGTGTGTAGAAGATGTAGAAGATAGGTAGAAGATGTAAATTATGGGAGAAGCACCGCCTCTTTATATAGAGGTGATGTTGCCTGTTTCCTGAAATCCTAGCGGAATAGGTTTAGACGGTGACTTAATCTCCAAATAATCTAATCCTATAACCAATACGCCTAGGGTTCAGTTTGGACTCGTCAACTACTGAACATTATGTTTCACATCCGTATATTCCAATTTGAGGAGGAGCGAGCTTAACCTAAAGTTCTTATTGAAGAGGTACGAATCTCCTGGTCATTCGGTTCGATCGACTAAGTGTTGTTCATTATTATCATAGTACTTTAGCTAACCTTTATGGATGGAGGATATTCCTAATTCACATTGCAAGATCTTTTCCCAACTTGTATTGTAAAAAGAGATTTTGGAAGTTAAAATAGTCTTAGGTCTCATCGAGAAAACGGGAAATATTTTATTCATGGAAGATCTAAATAAAAGATTAATATTCGCAGGAGAGCAAAAGTAGTCATGAATGATCTTGAGTGAAAGCTGTTTAGTGTTTTACCTATATAAGTTAGTTGTCTCTGGTTATGTGCTCTTTCCTTTCCACCAATTATTGGGGTTTATGTGACTTAGTTTATTTAGATTTAGGGCATCAATGATGGTGAATCTAGTGGAAGCCAAGCTTTCCACGTCCAAAAAGAGAAGTTTGTTTCTCTTTTTTTCTTTTCGTTTTTCTAGTTGTCAACTCCAAGAAGCATATCTTCTTTTGTTATAATACTCTTAAATGAACATATATTACACTCAAATTAATTTCTGTCTCATTTATGTTAAACCTATTTCAAATAACAACAATCTTTTCACTTACAAGTTTTCTTTTCTTAACGAGTGCGAGGTTTCTAACCACTTGACCAACAAATGTTTGACAGGAGATACATATATTGGTATGTCCCCTTTTTTAATATCAATGTCTTCTTCACATCAAGGACTTTTAAGTGGAATCCAACTCTTCCCTCAACAAATGGTTTTCCTCTTCATGTAAGTGGGTTTCTCTTTCACCACCTAACCCTCTGAAAATAACCATTAAAGTTAAAAAAACAAAAGGCTTGGAATCCCATTAACAAAACAAACTTTGAGATTCCTTTTCATCTCTTTTGAGGTGGGCTCTCACAAATCCTAGTGCCCAATTGTTTTCAAGCTGTTCTTCTGTTTGTGAGCAATGGCCTCGTTCCACCCATTAAGGGGTCTCTATTATCTAAAGATTTTGCTTTCTCTTAGTTTAAGGTTCCTAGGATCTTCCATTCTATAAACCCTCAACATGTATTTTCTATGTTTCCCCTCACTCTCCCCTTATCTAATTTGTTCATCAAGTGGACCATTCCAACTTTGCTTTTAGTTCTTTCATCCTAGTTGTCATCAAGAAATTGAACTACTAAAGAATAACTTACTGAATCAATCTTCTATTTAGAACATGACCCGCAACTTGCCACTTATTACTGAACATTATACACGTAAAACGATTAATGCAAGCAACCTAAGATAGAAACGAGGTTTTGATGATGATAATGTAGTTCATTACACAAGTACTCATGTCAGTTACTAGCAAGAATCCGACTAATAACATTGCCAAATTAGTCAGCCAATAGCCAAATAGCTCAGCCACCCCTAGAAAAGTTAGAATAGCGGATTCTAATTATTGGTTACACTTTGATGGATAAGTAACTTGGCCACATTAGTCAACATTGTACCAATAATTGACAAAATGCATCTACATTTCTGCCAATAATAATATTTGGCCATGCTCATTAGTTCAGAGCTCTGATAATGAACTAATGGGGGCCCTCCCTTTCCTTTGTTTCGGGTTGATTATGGCATTTCACTTCTTTAGTGAGTCAAAGAAAGTGTGATCAAGGCATGTGAATTCAAGAAGCTAATTTGTTTGCATTATATTACAGATAGATGGTAAAATATTGTTAGATACAAACATGCTGCAGGAGATGCATGGCAAGTGAATCGCAGTGCAATCTTTATATAAAGTGGTGCCACTTTTTTGGCACAAGTAGGTTATATTATAAAGTATATTTCATCAAAAAAAGAACAAAAGTAACATCAGGACAACACTTTAATTGGTTTCGTTTGATGAATAAACTAATTACTAGAAGTGCAACCAAGAAAGAAGAAGAAAAAAAGCAACTGAACTCGTGTACTCTGTTAGATTTGAAGGGGAGAACTTTAATGGTTTATTGGTTTTGCTTTTGTTCTTAGTACTCAATTATTATATGGATTGTGAAACAAAACAAAACTATATATTATACACCATCTCCCCTCAAAAAGAGAAGTGCATTTTATGTGCAGCCCCTTTGTGTGTTTAGGTGTCTTTTACTTAATCTTTACAACTATAAAGAGATGCCATCGATCTTTTTCATTAATTTGAATATGGGTTTTGGGAGTAAGTGGGAATTAAATTAAGCAATTAAACAATAACAAAAGGTGAGTTCTCTCTAGAAATCAGCCAAGGGTTTGTCTTTAATTGACTGCCTAAAGTTGTATGCCTTTGTGCCTCTCTTTAGCATGTGCAGGCCCCTATGTTTATCATAATCACTACTCCATTACTAACTTCTTCTACTACTTCTTGAGGGTTATCCTACGTGTTTATACCAGTAAAGAGAGTACATGCTAACCCATTATTGCTTCTTTTTTCTTTGGGGTCTCTTAATTGAGTCTATTAAACAGAACATTTCTTTGAGAAGAAATTAGTGTTGGTTTCTAAAGAATTAAATCCTCAATGCGGGTATTCTAACCGTAAATAACCAATGCGGCCAATCATCGGCATTGATTCAAGAAGGTAGTAAGCGTACTAAGGAAGACAGATTTGACTTGTCCATTCACTTTAGGTTAGTTTAATCTAAGCTCAATCAATAAGAAATGAAAATCTTTGACTTCGATCGATGATTAATCTCATAATTTTCGAGATGAGACTAATTATGTATTGAGTGTGTGTGATTAACAAACCATAATCCTTTGATTGACTAATATGTAAAACCTTTATTTAGAAAGAAATTGCATATAATTTCATTGATAAAAATTACAGGTATAGTGAACAAGACATATATTAGAAAATCTCATTTGATGTTTCTCTTGCCAGGTTGGATATTTGTACGACTTTTTATTTACCCCTTTTTCTAATACAACCAAAAGAACAGCTCTGTGTTTCCCGTATCCCACTTAAAACACACACAGCCTCAATCTCGATTTTTTTTTTTCTTTCAGGTGTAATATACACTTTGCTTGCTAATAATAAATTATAAAAAGAGTGGAAAGAGAGACGAACCCTTTTTAAATGATATCCAAAGGGGAAAAAAAAAACACACACACATATAAAATGGAAGTGCAAAGACGACAATGGCTAATCTGATAAGCTTATCTGCAACGATGATTGTAGAAAACTACCACCATCTTTTATTTCTAGATATGGTTATGTTTTAAATAAGATTAATCAGTATGTATCCTTTGTTCGGGAGCAATTGTGCTGCATTTCTTCTATATGTCTGATTTTGAAAAAGAGTCACGTTTGTTAAATTAAAAATACAGAAACGAGGACCAACATTGTCAATGCAAAGAAGAAACTGGATGTTTATGTAACTCTTAATTAGTCGCATTATTCCAATTCGAGAATGAAAGAAATGGTATCATGATGTTACTTATAATGTATCTTATTACCCCGATTGAGACAAGCAACTTAATAACTTGTTAACTCCTTACGATGATTGAGATATTAATCGATATTAATTATGAAGTCGGGTCACTACATGTTGTATGATGTTTTATTTCAAATTTTCTTGTATTTTTAAACTTGAATGGCCAATTTAATAAATCAAAGATGTCTTGTTGACGAAGTTTCGTCCTTTAAGAAATTCGCTGATTTGAACTTTTCGCAGTGAATTATTATTTCTTTTTTTTTCGGCTGAATTCAAGAGTCGGGTGAGATGATGTTGACCATTAAGTTTTTAACAAAACTAGTCAACACACAAGTACATAACTGCATATTGTTTAAAACCAAATTATTCCATCAACTATATGGTCAGTTAATTGTAACAATTGTAACTTTTAAATCATTTACTGAAACATTTGACTGAGGGGTTTGTAGAATTTTCCGCCTTTTTGTGGGTAAAAAAATTACTTCCATTTTGTTGGCGGCTAGCTATATTTATAATTGTCAAACTAATAGTGGATTAAACTAATCACAAGTAGTTTAAACTCTAAAATGTCAAATGCTCGCGGTAGTTCATTTTCAGGATGACTCGGACACACCTCATGAGGTTCGACAATAAATATATAGGTTTCAAGATCGAGCAGCCTTAAACAAGAACTTGACTTATTTTCACGCATAATTATTATTTAAAACCCCTAAGAAACTAAAAAGAACAAATAATTAAAAGGAAGATCAACTGCACCTGCACGTGATGGTTTGCCTTGGTTGGAGACATAAATATATAACTTTATGCCATATGGAAACATGACTAGGGGTGGTCACGGTGCGATTATGGTGGTTTTTTGTTCGACTTTTTTTTTCTTAATTAATGAAAAATATAATTATTATTGACGAATTTGAAGTAAATTATTGATAGTTAAACTCATAAAGAGAAAGAAAGTGTAGTAAATAATGCACTCCTCGCGTAACATCTACCGTTATTAATGTTGTTGCATGTATGTACATATCAAATTATTTTCCATTTCCATTCTAAAATCAAAGTGCAGTTTGAATGGCTAAACAAAATAATAATATTAAAAGTTGAAGGAGAGAGAATTTAATAACTATGTACTTTTGTACTAGCTTTTTATTGAATAATTTACCCATGATACAAATAAAGAAGGAAAAAAAAAATCTAATTCTCTTCAATCGATCATAACTACAAAACTATGAACAAAAATACATAATTAATGGGATTGCCCAAATTCTCTAAAACATTTAGAGAGGATTGAGGATAAATTAATCCCTCTTTCTTTTTCCTCTTGAATTGGTGGTTGACTTTGCCTCAATACGTACTACTCAATTGTAGAAGTTAATCAAAATCTTTGCAAGGATGATTTTTTCCACTCTACCAAACGTTTCAGAAAGCACATAACCTGCCCCCAGAAAAAAAAAAAAAAAGTCTATATTAATTATAGCTAACAAACACGTATCCATTTAATATACTAAAATAGAAAATTCTATTTTGGGATCGTATGAATATTACAATTTATAAGAAGTGTAATATACCTCAGATGGCTCTTGCAAAGTATATGAAGCATTGGTTTCTTTTGGAACTTTAGACACCAATATTCCAAAACCTTGTCCTCTTTTACGCAATACCTGATCAAAACAAAATACACAATCATTTAATTAGTACAATTACTGCTGCTAATTAGTTATGTTCACTAATTAATTAAAACAAAATGATATAATATTAATTAGTACAAGTACCTTAAATGCGTCTTCATCTGTTCTATCATCTCCAATATACACAGGCATAACATCCTTCGAGTTTGCATAACCTAATGATTCCAACAAAAATTCCAATGCATTCCCTTTATCCCATTTGATGATTGGACGAATCTCCAAAACCTATACATGAAAATACCACCCAAAAAAAAAGAAAAAAGAGTTAATTAATATTTCCAAATTCTTGAAACCGAATCATTGTACTATAAAAATGAGATAGTACAAAAAGGAAATATATCAAATGGATTACCTTTCTCCCTGGACTCATTTTGAGCTTGGGATAATCATTCAGCACGGTCTTTACTACTTCTGCCAATTCAGGCCACCTCTGTAAAAAAATAAAAATTTACTGACAGTTAATTTACTGATGAATTTTCTAACAAAGCTTCATAATAAGAGAAAATTTTTCGAAAAAAAAAAAATGTACCTTTTCGTCCACGCATCGAAAGTGAACAGACAAGCAAAATTTGTTATTTTCCACCTTAGCACCAGGGATGGATTTGGTTTTTGTCACCAGAGATTTGTATACCTATAATAAGGTAGAATTTGTCAGCTACAAACATCCCACAAAAGAGACTATTGTACTATTTTTACCGGTTTTATTGTACAATTAAAAAACTTACCTCATCAATCATTGGTAAAAATTCTCTAGCAGGCTGGCAGAGTACTGTTTGATTGCTCTGCAATTTTTTTTTTTCACAGAGAAAATAAAGAAAAATCAGCTTCTTTCGTATTGATTCATTGAAGAAAAGGAGTTGTCATTTTTTCATCAAAGTAATAAAATAACGGCTAAATCAAGTGCTATTGTGCTAACCTTTTTGTATTGATGCCCTTTTGTTGGTCCTTTAATGTCCATTCCATGGCTTCCAGCATAATAGAGTTCTGCTAGTTTTACGAAACTGTAAACTTTTGCTCTGCATCTTCCTGTGACTATGGCTGTTGGGAAATAATGAGCCACATCTCTAACAGCTTCTCTCATCTGAAATTTTTCCATATAAAGAAGTATTTTAATCCAAATTCAATAAGTGTATCATAAGAAGACGAAGAAGAAGAAGAAGAAGAAGAAGAAGAAGAAGGATGAAGAACAAACCTCAGGAGAAATGAAAGCTCTGTCAGGATCATCAACAATGGGAGAAAGCGTACCATCATAATCCAGAAACATCACAATTTGTTTTCCCTTTGAACCCATTACGATTTCATCAAACATACTCAAAGCCGAAGGGTGACGAATCTGTTCATCAATTAGTACAATTAGAAAGATAAATTAGTCCACATCCCAATAAGTTGGGAAATGAAATTTGAAGTTCTCTGATTTGATTGAACAGGGGTTTCAAAAGCACGTACAATCCAAGACTTGTTATTTTCTTCATTGTTCTCATGAGGCGGTCTTCTTGTCGGTGAAGAAGCTCTCATTGAATCAACCCAAGCACTGATTCTGCCTCCACCTCCTCCTCCGCCGCCGGCTGCGGCGGCGGCGGTTTCAATCATCTTCAGGGACTGGGCAGTCCAGACGATGGGCTGGCCTCCGGCAGCCAATTGCATAGGCACCACGGCTTGTGGGAAAAGAGGATCACGTATGGACACCACGATTTCCATGCTAAATCCTGATTTAGTATCAGAAATCACCACATTTTGGTTCATCATTCCCCCAATATATATAATATATAGAGAAGAAAATCAACCCTGCATGAATATTGTAAAAATGGACCGCGTCCAAATTATATAATGAAAAAAAAAAAAGGAATTGTGACTAATGATGATGATGACTACTTCGTATTATAGTATTCTGGGTTGGGGTTAAAATGTGAAATATTTACCTGGAAAATACTTGGAAGTTCTTCTAGACCAAAGACAAAGTACGTGGGGAGCCAAAAACAGAGGAAAGAAGAAACAGAGTATTTTTGGTGTTTGAGCGAATGGAATGAAGAGAGAAGAAAAACGCGCACTATACTGTGAGAGGAGAGTTTTACGAGTTTTACAAAGAAAAGGGGAGAGGCGACGGGTCAATTTATAAGTAAGTTGAAAGCACTAAGGGACGAAACATCCCCACTTTTTCCGGCTCTTCTTAGTACTCTCTATGGCCTTTGTTGCCCCAAAACATTTCTCACTCGGCTTAATGCTTTTTAGTGTAGAGTACTTCTTTGGAGTCATTCACCTAAGTAAGGTTAACAGATTACTCTCTCCGTCCCAATTTAACAGTCCACTTTACTGTATGGATTATTTATTTTTTTATTTTTTATTTTTTTTGAAGTGTTGTTCGTTTTGAGTAATTATAGTTAAGGCAAAAGAAATTGAAAGTTAGGTAGATAATGATCATTCAACATGTGAGTAATTATTGAGTGACTTGATGATTTGTGGTGTATAGTAGTAGTACTATTATTAGTTTCGATACTCCCATGTTTGATAATTTGCACGTCATACAAATGTGTGACAAGGTTGCAACAATAGCAAGTTCCCTCACAAGAATCCTCTATCTCACTTATTAATGTACTGATTTTTAACTCTTATAATAAATAAAAGCATGTGGTTTTATTAATGGCGTACATACTGATACAAAATTATAATAAGTGAAACTAATAATCTCGTTAGTCAAGAGTTTGGTAGGATGAATCTCTTGATTCCCTCATGAAATGGTTAATTAGGACTTTAAGACTTTGAAGTGTGAATGTAATGTTAAGGTTTTCAAAAGGGGTTAATAAAAAAAAGGTTACAACAACAAAATTTTATTGTACTTCACTCACATTATACACATGATTTGATACTTGTTTTGAATTTGACAAAGGCGATGGGGTTTTTGTGCTATTCTTTTTTTTTTTTTTGTATTCTCATTACTTTGTAGTGGTTTCTTTGTATGGTGTGAGACAGTGAGTAAATGAAAGAATGTCTTAAGTAAATATTCGGTTAGTTATATAAGAACTAGAATATAACATCATTTCCTATTTGTCCCCATTAAGAGATAGTTAAATAGGGTAAATTTGTACAAAGTAATTGGTCCATCAGATTCTAGTAGTACTATTAGGATTTCATGGCCCCCAAAAACCAAAATAAAACTAAAACAAAATTTTGTGGTTTAAAATGATGTATTACTATGAGCCAAATCATGGTATTTAGGGGGCAGAGGTGTTTATTCTTACTTGATTAGGGATACCCTTAATCGAATCTAATCACTATACATCTTCACGTGCTTTAGAAAAGGAAATTAATCAACCGCCTCCACGTAATGCCATACTCATTGAATTTATTTATTTTTATATAAGGCATTTGAAAATGATAATTGCAAAAGATGCCAATAATGAAGAGAATTTTGTGGTAAACAAGTGATTTAGATAAATGTTAGCTATATTGGTCGAGCTTTCGACATCTTCATTTAGCGCAAGGAACTTAAAACATACACAGCGACAAAGCAATGGTTGGTTGCTATGGATTTTAGGTAAATGGAAAGAGATTAATGACCCCAACCTCATATTTTGGAGCATAATCTGACGAATTATCGAAAACCATATTTACAGAAGAGGAATATTGTAAAGTTTAGTAAGAATTATATTAATGATAACGCAACCCACATTGATCAAATTATGTAAATTTTGCGGTTCTCTCATTTTCTCTTTGCTGTTTATATGGTTTCGGATACACTATTTGTATAGTGTTTCAGAGGATTGTAATTAGGTAACCCTATCGGATCCTATTTGTAAATAATGCATTAAAACTAAATTCGTACGTAGCCATCTCAATAATTAAGATCGGAATGAGTAAAATTTGGAGATATAGATAAGGAATTTTGTGTGAATTTTGTGAGTAAAAATGTGTGAATTAGATAAGGAATAATTAAGATCGCAAGCGTCCATTTATGTGCTCCTTTACGATCATTTCTTTTCACAATAAAGTGCCCAAAAAACTCCATAATTAGTAATGGAGGTTCTCGTGTGAATTTTGTCAAAGTTTACTCATGTACGTCAATTTCTGTTATTGCAAACGAAAATATCACAATTATTACATGGCATAGATGTCCAATTCCTGTAGGAGATGGCAAAACATTTCAATTCTTCTTTCAAAAGCAACTTCAGAATTAGGACAGCTTAAATAGTGTTTCATGCTGTTGTGTGCTCCGTCAAGTTGTCAGGTTTTACCTCCTTTATTATAACGATTAAAAAAAAATTAGTGTTTTTTCGATTAACAAAACAATAAAAGGAAGTATTTTGGTATAAAAATAAATAAACAAATGAAGGGGCAACAATTATTGAGGTTTTCAGATGGGATTCTACTCTATAGGACGACAATTATTACAGCAATTAATTTTGTACGGCCTTTTTTTTTTTTTTTTTGATTCCAAAAGCACAAAACAGTAGGAAATAATATTGTGCCTGTGGGATTGAATAACTTTCGAGTCATGAGGGATCTCACAAATGGAATTTTGCCTAAATAATTGCGTAACAAGTGATACGTCTAGTATACGAACGTGGCAATGGGTGAAGAATCTTTCTATGATCAAAGAAAAGAGATTTAAAAAACAAGAAGAAGAAGAAGCATAAAAAGTTAGTCAAAATCAAATCTCCGTAGGCACAATTCTAACCATTATATGATTCCCCTATAATATTAACTTTTCTAAATGCTCTAGAAATCTCGTACAGTGGCAGTCTCTCTTGATTATTTTGATTCTATGGTTCTTTGGAAAAATGACAGATTTGGTGTCTTTTAGCTAGTACCGAAGCAACTTTCTTAGTTTTGAAATATGAAATCTTAATCGCATTATGAAAATGCCATCGTCTAGTGCACTCATTCCGTCCCGAAATTATTATCCAGTTTCAATTTTTATTTATCATATAAATTGAATTAAAAGTGAAAATTTAAACTGGATAATAATTTTGAGACAGATGGGGTAATTGAGAAAAGTCACCTTGTGTCGTTGTGGTTAAGAACATCAATTTGAAAAATAAAATGAGGATCATTCTCAATAAAAGAGATTTGATAGGCATAATTCAATGATCACGATTTGTTTCCAAATTAAATTTGTTTGGCAAAAGAGTGTACACAGTACACTCATTCTGCAATTGAATACTTTTCCCCATTCGAACAAAATGTCAAATAGGACTTGGAAAGAGGTAAAAATTCTACACCAAAATGATCTAATACGTACGTGGTACGTACAACATGGAATTCGTACTCTTCCCATTTAGTTAGGTAAAAGTACATACACACGATTACAATAATTTGAACCGTTAGTTTTTATGATAAGTATTTTTGTCCAGAAAAATGAGATTTTTTTTTTTTTTTTTTTGGGTCTAAAATAAGGATCGCTACGTTAACAATAGTTTTAGCATAACAAATATGAATATATTTTCATAAGACGTCGAAATAAAATTATACGATCGAGCAAATTGCTTTTTAAAAAACATTTGGCAATGTGAGGGAAATGGAACCATCATGTTGTCACCTCAGAACATAGTCAATTTCTCCCTAGGAGCCTGAATTGCTGTTTCTTTGAACATTACAACATAGCTGCACGCAACAATTTTTACGTCATCCACATGATATAATCGTTTCGAAACTATTTCAGTCATCTATACATGAATTTCTTGACTTTCCTCTCACACTAACAATTAAATTAAAAGTCGCAATCATATTAAAGGGAAAAAAAAATCATTGAGTCACTTTTATCAACATTAAAAATCATGCTATGTGAAAAAAAATATCGTAAAATCACGATCTATGAAAAAAATCGTAATCATACAAATCAATATGTGCATATTTCTAGAGCGCACTATGTAGAAAATTTCCCAGCCTTTTCATGAAAAGAAACATTTTCTTTTGTCCAAGTATCGCAAAGGAAATTATTGTACATATATATACATACGACAATAAAGCCAAGCCCTCTAGTCTTTAATTATTTCTCAGATATTCCGAGTAATTTACCTAAAATTTTATAATAATGACGATGCATCATTCTTCTATTACTGAAAAAAAAAAAAAAGATGCCCGACAATGACACGAATTGATTTTTTTGTAAGGAAGAAGAAGAATAAAAGAAGAACGTTCTGTATTGAATCAGGATGCCAATGAGTGAGCGCCCCTTGAAAGTGGTGATGAAAACTAGCAGCGAATTTCTAAAGAAAACAGCAGCTGAATTAAAAGGAAAAAAACTAGCAGCGTTTTAATTATACATTTTCGTATAGGTTAAATCCGTGATCGATCAATTGTCAAATGTCTTTATATGTAACCCTTCCGTCTGACCAAATTAAAGAGCCATCAAATTTTTTTTTTTGTGTTGTTCTTTTTTTTCTTTTATATGTTGGCTTTTGCATTTGCATCGAGTCAGCAACCAAACTTTTATATAGCTTTTGCATCAATTTAGTGCCTCACAAAACATCTTGTTCTCGGAAAATTTGGCGCCCTTGCCTACAACCCTAGCTAACGTACCTACCAGACTTCAAAACAATCATGCTGTTATTTTTTCTTTTTGCCTTTTTTTTTAAGGAAAAAGGAGTATATTTTGTAGGGAGAGTATTACAATTTTATAGGGAGAGTAAATGGTATCATTATACTACTTTGCGAGTGTTGGATTTCATGTCACATATTATGGTTAGTCACGGAAAAATGTAATATTTGTTAGAATGAGACTAATGGGAAAGTTATGTCCAAGATCTATAGGAGTTGTAAAACATATTAAAAAAGGACGGGAAAGAGTATCACGTTACTTTTATACTTTCTTCGTTCCAAAATTATCGTTCAATTTAGGGTTTTTACTTTTAGTATAATTTGTATTAGAAATAAAAATTTAAACTAGACAATAATTTCGAAATAGAGGAAGGAGATGTTATTATAGTTTAAGTACCTCTATCAAAGTGTTTTTGTACATGGTCACAAATCCAAATCACAGCACTCTATTATTCTTCAATTACTTCCTCATGTTACTTTTGTTAGCCAACTGTAGTTTAGAGAGAATAACATTTAAGATCGATTAAACCTAATGTATTTTCTTGTAGGAATATGTGATATTCTTAAATGGGGTACTTAAATAGCAATGGCATGACATAATTAATAAGAACAGTACATTTGTCAAATCAACTTTAAATAAACTACTAATTCTTCAATTAGATTTGATTGATTAAAAAAATAATAAGGGTTTGGAATTTTGCTGGGTACAATA